GAAATTGTACTCATTCAGCACAGGCACTTCCTAGCTTTGCATCACTATCAAAAGCTGCTCTAGCCATCTTAAAATCCAAAATTTGAAAATTCTTCAAAAAAATTTCAAAATTTCAAAATTTTTCAAAATCAAAAATCTCAAAAATCTCAAAATGCAAAACAATTCTTCACTGCCTTGGGTCACTGTGAACTCTGAGGGAAGGGGGTGGGTTGCTTAATCCCCACTGCACAATGGAACAAAGGACCATGTGCTTACCAGGAAGTTAACTCAGAAAAATACTACTCAACTCAAAATCACAATCCAATGCAATCCTTCAAAAATACGCAGAAATATGCAATACTGGGGCCACTAACCCTTTGTGGGAATGTTCTGGGGTGCAGGAGAGGATATATTGACTAATTATATCCTTGTCCAACTTGTGCTAACAAGTTCCCAAAATATCAGCAGAGTTTATATACATTCCCCTTTAGTACGCAACGGTAACGTGTGCACAGGTTCGCTAGAACCTCTATAATAATTACTCTGGTAATTTCCCCTTTGTTCCCTCTTAAAATACAAGACACAACACAGTCTTTATAAAAGTATAAAAGAGTTTACTCACGATCTGTTCACAATATGATCCCAGATGGCAGACAGGCTTAAAAAGGTAAAATACACTTAGAATCTATCTTATAGGAAGATAGCCCTCTCCTCTCTTGGCTGAGAGCCAAGAGGGCATCCTGCTTCTTCGAAAGGTGATGGCAGAGAGAGAGAGGGTCTGCCTGCCCTGTGCTTTTTGTTATTACCTGCACAGGTGAGGCCACACCCACCTCTGGTCACATGTGGAGGAAGTCCGTCCCCAGGAAGTTCACCTGCTTGCTGGACAGACATCCCCCCCATGTTCTAGCATGTACACTCTAGGAATGTTGTCATTGACTGCTCCTGTGTTTACATCCCACAAAGGAGTCTCCAGATCACATCAGAGTCCCTCCATCCCCCACCCCAATAATCAGAAATGCTTTTAACTGAAGATCCCGAGGGATGAAGCTGGGATCTTCAGTATGCAAAGCATGAACTCTTGCCATGGTCCCCAGCCTTTCAGTAGTGGTCAAATAAATCCTTGCCCTTTCATGTGGCTGCAGGGGTAGGTGGAGAGAGGTGTTTTTACCAAGGATGGTAGAAGGTTAAGGATTTGCAACCCAAATAAGTTTCAATTGAGTCTGCTATTAACCCTTGCTAGAGTGGTGCGGGTGGCGCTGTGGTCTTAACCACAGAGCCTAGGGCTTGTCAATCAGAAGGTTGGTGGTTCGAATCCCTGTGATGGAGTGAGCGCCCATTGCTCAGTCCCTGCTCCTGCCAATTTAGCAGTTCGAAAGCATGTCAAGTGTTAGTAGATAAATAGGTACCACTCCAGTGGGAAGGTAAACGGTGTTTCTGTGCACTGCCTCTGGTTTCATCAGAAGTGGCTTAGTCCTGCTGGCCACATGAACCGGAAAAACTGTCTGCGGACAAACGTTGGCTCCCTTGGCCAGTAAAAGCGAAATGAGCGCTGCAACCCCCAGAGTCATCCGTGACTGGACTTAACAGTCAGGGGTCCCTTTACCTTTAGAGTGGTGGTTAGAAGGTGTAAGTGCTGGTGGGATGAAAAACGTATATTCCTGCCTAGGATAGATCCCTATCTGGTTCTCTGCTAGAGGATGTAGAGTTCCAGTGCACCTCTTTTAGGAAAATACCCAGATTGAGCAGGGAAGTAGTGGTGAGAAGGTGTTGCCTGATGCAAGGGATCTGTTTGTGTGAATGTGTGCAAGGGAGAGGAAATGTGTACATACTGAGTTTCCAGAGTTTGCCCGTTTCCACATTTGGCTCCTACTTTGAAACTCATCCCACAACATTGGCATGACGTTGGGCCTTTGCAGCGATTGGTTACCTAGGAATACAGGAAGCTTCCGGTCAGTGGTCCATCAAGTTTGGCACTGTTGACACTGACTGACAGTGGCTGTCCAAGGTTTGAGGGCAACTGTTCTTCCCAGCCCTACTTGGGGATTCAACCTGAGAACTTCTGTATGCAAAAGGTATGCTCTACCATTGGGCTATGGCCCTTCCTTGTTTTACAGGATGTTGAGATACTGCAAAACTTGCATAAGTAAATACTTCGAAGAACTAGTTGAAATCTGTGGGTCAGGCAGCCCCATGTCCCCACCAATAATTTCATCCACTAACCGCAGCTACAAGCCTACCAGGCATATGACAGCCTTGCATGTGTTATCTCCCACCTCACATTCTGGTGTTTTGCAAAGATCGAGTGTTTCCTGACAGCTGTATACAAGCAGCTGACCAAGAACAGGATGTGATTCCCTGATTTCAAGAAGCCAGCACACACCTGATGGTTGTTAGAATCAATTTTGAATCAAATGCTGACTCCATTCTCGTTGCACGTCTCTTCCAGAATGTATATTGGTGCTTGAGTATGGAGAAAGTGGAGTGCAGCCTCATTTACATCTCTCCTTGTTGAGAAAGTATTATCACCATATGCTGATGTTTTGCTCAGGGAAGGACCTTGAGCTCAGAGGCGCAGATCAGGAGCTTTGTACGTAAAAGCTCCCAGGCTCGATCCCTGGTGTCTCTAGGTAGGGCTGCGAGAGAGCCTGTCCAAGGCTCTCTCAGGCAGTGTGTGTAATACTGAGCTAAATGGCTCAGTGGTCTGACTCAGTATGCAGCATCTTCCTGCGTTCCTGTGCTAGTTACGTCTTAAGCTGATACACGGGGGGGGGGGGTGTAGCATGCAGGGGCATGTAGATGATGCTTGACTCTTTACTCTTATTCACTTGCATTGCTCAAGAACTCGGAAAGCATAAAGCAGCCGAATTTCGGCTGCGGCAGGCTTCCAAATGGGAAGAGCGATGACTGGGTTGAATGTCAGAAGCCGACCCCTTCCCCAAATCCCTGCAATTTTAGCATGCATAGCAAGCAATTAATCATATACCAGAATGTGTCCGGGCTATTTGTACAAATGAACAGCTCCCAGTTCTTTACACAAAATTATGAAATGCTGTGTTCCTATTTCTTCCCCTGATGGTCTTTGAGTTTTTTTGGGGTCTAGGGACCTTCTCAGCCATCCTCTCTGGCCCTTAAGCACCCACAGCTTCAACCTTCTTTGGACAGAGCACACAGGTACAGTCATACCTCATGTTACGTTTGCTTCATGTTACGTTCTTTCAGGTTACGTCCCGCGGCGACCCGGAAGTACCAGAAAGGGTTACTTCCGGGTTTCGCCGCTTGCGCATGCGCACAAGCGCCAAATCACACCACGCACCTGCGCAGATACGGCGCTTCAGGTCGTGCTCTTTTCATGTTGCGAAAGGGCCTCTGGAACGGATTCCGTTTGCAACCACTGTATATGCCAAGTACAGCAAACTTGCAACTTATGCTGGAGTTACATTCTGCAGATTGCATGTAATCATAACACATTGGGTGCAATGTGGGGCTGAATTGCCAAAGTATTTTTTCCTGAACCTCTGCCCCCTTTTTATTTTTTTATTATTATTTTTTTGCCAAGCCAGATGAAGGACCCTGTATGAGAGATAGGGAAGGGGAGATCTCCCAGGGTGAGAGGCTGAGGGAAGAATGGGATGCTCCCAGGTGAGAGCTGCGAGGTTACACCTTTTTCTGTATGGGATACGAGTTTAGATATTTGTATTCTTCTAACCAGTGCTTTTTTTCTGGGGGGACGCATACCCCTAAACATTTTGTGAATCTAAGTTTGGCCACATTGAGGGGCAGTATTTCAATATGAGTAGGAAAATGAGAGTACCCCTAAACATTTTTTAAGGGGAAAAAAGCACTGCTTCTATCTCCCTTTTTTAATTTCTTGTTTAGATTAGGTTGTTTTTTTATTGTATTGTGAAATTAAACTGTATTTTAAAAAAAAATAATAATTATGCCAAGCGCTGAAAGCTGAATGCGCACAAGTTAAATGCACATAAATTGCGGGCTTACTATTCTAAAAACTTACTGAACTCCCTCCACGATGCTGAGTGCTTTGCTACTGCTTCAGTTGTTTAGTGGTAGGTACGGCTGAATATTTCAATTTCAGTTTCTCTGTTGCCCTTTGTTCCAGACTTAATTTTGGTAAGTTTGCCTTTAAAAGCAGACTGAATCCACTTTGTCCCCCTCCACTTACCCAGTGGTAAAGGCTCCTCTGTGCCAGAATGCTCCCCTGTACCAGAAGTACTTGCTAATAACTGTACCAGATGTAACTGAAGGTCAGATAACAAGATGTGCTAGGAAGCAATGAGACTGAACAAAATGTCCACCACAACAGGGCTCAATGTGTTGCATCGAAAACTAGGCTGGCTCTTTGAACTATGGAAAAGCCTTGAGTCATGCCAAAGGGCTGTGCTTATTTTACACAAGGGCTTTCTGCATCCTTGTTGGAACAATATAATGTGTCTAGCCACCTTAGGACAAAGTTTCTCCACCCCCAAATCTGTGCCTTTTTTAAAAAAACAACTAAACTTGCCAGCCACCTTAGCTCCAATTTCAAATAAGCAGTAAAGACAATATTTGGAGATCAAGTCAAATGTCCAATTTATTTAATTATTTTTTTATAACTTGAAACTGGAACAAACGTTGTTTTGAACGAGCGTACAAATGAAATGGTAGACACATGCTGAACTCAACAATGTGACAAGTGGGGTGGGATGGGGGAGAGGTCAGGAGTCTTGTACAGAGAATAAAAGGAACAATAAATATTTCACTAAGTGATATTGAAATGACCTCCTGCCATCTCAACATTTTACCCATAATAAAAAAAAGTGCTCCTATCTTTCTTTCTTTCTTTCCTTTCTTTTTTCTTTTTTAATGGAGCACAAATACCAAGCAATAATAAATAGTTCCAAACTTGTAGTAAAAGACAAAACCTCCAAGTAAACAATGAAAGCTCATACAATAAGTAATAGAAAAAGGTAATAAAAATAGTTTGCCTTGCCGGTACAAATGCAAACAACTGAAATCAACGTTACTTTTGCTTTGCAGTTCTAAAATACAAAGAGCACCATAAAATGAGTTTGCCTGTGAAAAACAAAAAACCACCCTTGGACTGTATTTAATCAGGACTAGGATGAAATGCTGAAGTGCAAGGCTCTATTTTGAACGTCCACATTCTAAAAAAGAGGAGGGCTGTTGCTCCAGAAATGCTCTTTGTGCATCAATTTTTAGCGGAGCAGGGGTGTGCTGCATGGGATAATTGTGACTTAACACTGTTAACGTTGCTGATATTAGCAGTGTAAAAAATAATCACGACAGAAGAGATACCCGTGGCATGTCGGCCATATTGTGCTCACGGCCTTGTGAAGCAGGGATTCTTAAAAGCAGTGAGGAGGAGGAGGAGGTGGGGTCACCGTGGTTTCACGAAACACAATGTTTGTGCTTGTGTGTTGGTTTCTCATTGATTCAAGACACATAATAGGACAGCTGCTGGTGGTTTAAATCTGAGTTCATCCAGGATGAAAAGTGTCGTGCTCACAGTGGCAAAATGAAATCTGAATTCACTTCGCTGTGGATTTAGTTTCGGAGAAAGCAAGGCACCTAGGGATATATATATATAAAATACCCTATGCCTGGTTTTCACCAAAAATATCTCTGAAGAATACTCCAGGATGTACTCCAGAGTAGGGGAAGGAGTGTGCGTGTCGTAGGATACTATGAAATATTTCTGTAAGAAGATGGCTTTTCCAGGTTCTCTGGTGTTCATATATAAGGTTGCTCCACAACAAGGTCTTAGCGTAACCTTATCCCTAATTCTGAAGAGCTGGAAAGAGGAATGGCTAGGCCAGTTCTACAACCCAACGTGCCCTTGGCATTGTGATGGCTCTGTGACTTCATAATCACGTGTGTTCCCCCCTCCCCCCCACTGCTATTTCTTCACACACTGCTAATGGCTCCTCGCGTTTGCTCTCCCGTACCTTAAAATAGTCCCTAGCATGGTGCCTTGCCCCGTCACCCCCCCAAAAATGTTGTTGTTTTTTAAAAAAACCTGAAACAGCAGAAACAAAATAAAGATTAAAAAATAACGCTCAACTCATGGCATAATCCTAATTATTGGGACTTAACAAAGCAATCCTGGGGAGGAGTGTTTGTCAACCTAAAGGCACAGAATTTCATCCCAGTCCTTCAGATATTTAAGAAATTTATGGAATGTACAATTAGGAGTCAACAGCAACGAAAGCAGACAAAAGAGCAGACTGGCAAAACCTGTACATGGTCCTGTTCTGACAGGGATTGGGGCATGGAGAGGGAAGGTGGGATAGAAGTGGGATGTGCCCAGGCCAAATTTTTCACTCCGCCCCAATTCACAGTTGCACCAACAGAGTGTTTGGTCTCCCTTCCTTCCCCCTACCTCTTTTCAAATCGCTTCAGATGAAGGCTATGAAGAGGTGGTAATGGATGGGTGCCCTGATCCGGCAAGGGCTCTGGGATCAGGCCCCACACCCTTGCAGGATCAATTGGGTGAAAGTCCAGATGCACATGGCCCTGGCAGATAGTTGGTGCAGTGAGGATTAACAGTGCCTATCCAGTGATGGTGGGTACCCTGACTGCATACATGGCCCTTCATCCCACGGTAGGTGCCAGTGATGTCAAAACCAGTAGCACTGGGTATCTTAAGCACACACACCGTGCCGTTTTATGGACTGGGGCCGGAAAGTCTATGTGTGCCAGGCAAAAGCCGCTTCCCCGACTCTAAAAAAAAGCGGGGGGCATCTGTGGAATGTTACGTCAAACATCTTCACAAAAACTGAGTTTCATTTAACAATAACAGGCAACAGCCATCCATCCTAGTTCAACTCTACCTGGAAAGGCCTTGATACAAGGGGTCCAGGCAGTTTCAAAGTCATTACTGCCCTGTATGAACAGTGCTTCTTCCTTTCTTTTCTTTTCTTTTCTTTTTTTGTAGGCCATTTGTGACAGAAAAAAAAATACATATACATACACACAACTAAAATTGCGAACAGAACTCATAAACGAAACAAAACCTGACACCCCGCGCCTTCCGAAGAACAAAAAGGAACCCCCAAAACCACATAATTAAAAATAATAATTGTTTTGTTTCTTTTACTCAACAGGTCGTTAAACAACCCTTTTATTTTTATTTGTTTTCCTTCTTCTGTACAATAAGGTCTTGACATACAATTATTATTTCTTTTTCTTTTTTTGCACTATTTTATCCTGCCAAATTAAAAAAATATATTATGGCAGCCTGTTTGTTTGTTTTTATTTTTATTTCCAAATTCACTAACAAAAAAGTACATTAAATCCCTTTAAAAGGACAAGCGTACAGTTAAAAAATTACAAGTTCCAGTAAAAATACAGCAAGTGCCTACATTATATGAATTAACCAATATCAATATCCATTCCAGAAGAGGGGGATATAGGGGCAGGGGAAGGGGGGGGGAGAGAGATAAAAATAGGTACAGGTCAGAAATGTGATTTTTTTTTTTTTAATCTGCAAAGCAATAACAATATTAAGCACTTTTTTCCTACATACTTTTTCTACATGGTGTAGCAGTCACCTTTTAATCCCCAAATACAAGTTTCTATACATTTTTTTCTTGAAATAAAAATTCAACACCCAAGGCAGAAAAAAAAAATTACTAAAACTCAGACTTTACAGTTACAGTGACAAGAACAAATTTATAGACCCACCATTTAAATTTTACTGCAACATTTTCAAGGAAAAAAGAGAAAAGTTTTTTTTTTCTTTCTGGTTTTGTAAAATGCCCAGGCATTCTCCATTATTACAAATACTGGTCCACTTTTACAGTAATCAAGAAATTTTAATATATATAATATATACTAAAACCCCGTCACCAAAAGAAAACAATATACACATGGCCATTATGGCATTTTTAATAACCTATTAAGCAAACTTTGAAAAAAAGAAGAAGAGAGATTGCTCAAACACACATACACACAATTTTTTTTTACCCTTGTATGTATTCAATACTGTAAACGTATTTTAAGACAGAGTGCACTAAATTTAACTTTTAAAAAAATTAGCCGTTGTTCCTGAATTTTTTTTCATTCAATGATAACAACTTGCAATTTGTGTCATTTGAGTTTTAATTCAGCAGTAAATCATTTCCATTCCATTTCCTAAGCAGCGTTGTCCTGAAAAAAAAGAGAGAGGCTGAGAACAATTCAGCAAATTGATGTCCGAAGTTGTGCTGGATATACATCTTCATTTGATTGGGTCTTATGGCATTTTCATGTCCACTATCTTCAACCAGGATTTTTTTTTTTTTAAGTAAATGTGGCTCTTTTGTTTTGTTTTGTTTTGTTTTAACCCTAAAAGAACGTACTTTTCTTGTTCTACCGATTTTTTTAAAAGTCTTTTCATTTCACAAAAATGTTTGCATTTGTCTCAAGAGACTCAAATAGGAAGATCAGTTTTCAAGGCACTCACATCAAATTGAATGGCAGTAGAAAAACTGTCCAATAAGTTATTATTATTTTCTTTATAGTGCCAGTATTGTGAATGCCACGCTTAGCAACACTGACACTTAATCTCAGATGTCCCCCTTAATAGTTTCACCCACCTCTGGGCCAAGCAAAGACAAAGCTGTTGTAATTTCTTGTTCAGAAGCCGCTGGTTTTGAATGCGAACAAAAAGCTTTAAAGTGCGGGTCAACAGAATCAAAATGTGTAACTTTTACATTGTTCACTGTCTTGACAGACTAACTCAGGGGAATCCAAATTATACCCTAGAAAACCTCCCTAGGTCAAGTAGGATGGGGAGATATATATATATGAGTCTACCCAATGCACAAAAGAAAGATGGGCAATTTGGATGAGGGCACCTATTCTGATCTGGGATATTAAAAGAAAAAGGAAGTTTATGAGGCATATGGACACATGTGGTGGAATGCTCACATGAGAGAGATGCATACGGAAGCCAAAAGCCCACCAAGAGTCCCATTATTCCACAGCCCTGTCAAACAACACAACACCAAGTAAAGAAAAATGCAACTTAGATTCTGCGGTCAAGGCAACATACAAAATCTGACTTGTGAGCAGGTAAAAGGCATAAAGGAGGCTGAGTCTCCTCTGGTAACTGTCTATCTTCCCCGGATAGCCACACTTGAAAATGATTTTAAAAAAACAGAAGAGAAGAGAAGAGCAGGTTATTTAATATTTTTGCCTAAATGGGTTCCTACTCTTTCAACCAAACAAATACACCAAGCTATAGGTCTGTAGGTGCCTTCCCCCTGACCTCATTGTCCCCATCAAGGGATTAATCTAATCATTTGCCTTAAGAAAGTTCAGAATGAAAAGGCTGAGCCAAGAGCTTCAAATAGGACTGATCTGGCACCTACAGTAACTTCCAAAGGGCTTTTAGTGTTCCCAGTGAGGGTCCTTATTTTCTGTTCTATGTGAGATATTACCTACTGGAATATGAGATTTAGCATAAACAAAGCACATCCAGTAACCCTAAACGAAGTACAGTGTGTGACTGGAGTTTAAGACTGTGGGCAAATTGGTTTACAATTATGGATCCTTCCCCAGTGCTAAATTACCCAAAAATCTATCCATAGAAAAACGGGACGTCACGGCTTTTAATTTAGTTTTTATAATTCAATGAATAATGAAGGTGTTTTTTTAAAAAACAAAACAAAACCAGAAACAAAACAAACCTGCTTTATGGAACTCAAATCGTGCACTTCCAAATGTAGGGAGTTTTTAATTTACGCACCTTTTTATTTCAGTATCCTTTAAAAGGTTGCAACCCTCAAAACCTTGACTATAGAGACGCTTCGTCAATACTTACACGTTACTTTAATGGCACTATTCTAAAAGGGAGCATTTGGCCTATTTACTTTACAATAACATAATTGTGCATTATACGAGACAATATTTTCATTTCCCTGGCAAAATGCCTCGCAGTCTAGGCTAGCAGTCGGCTCTTGAATAACAGCTGTAACTATAACTGTTGCTTTTTGCTAGAGAGCACGGTTTATACAGAAGTCTTAGGCAAAAGCCAGGAAGGAAACCACTGTGTAAGGAAACCACTGTGAAGTAAGCAAATCGTATTTGTACAATATTGCACAAATTGGTGTCATGGGGTGCGCAAATATGCAGGAGTGTGTGTGTGTGTTTTATTCAGATCTCAGTCTTAAGTACAGATATTCCTTAGAAGCATTTCCATAATTGTGGTGAGCAACCTTGTGTATTTGTCTCTGCGTGGTATACTGAATGTGAAACAGAGTGTACAAGCGGTGATTCACCAAGCCAACTTGACCTGGGAGGTCTGGTGCATGAGAATTGCCATCTTCAGACCCGAGGCAAACACCAGTGGTGGACCACCAGAAGTAGCTGGTGGTCTGCACTGGTCTTGCCTTTAGAAACAGTACGGCCACCATGGGAGCGTTATAGTACTTGAATATTGAATATTTCTTGAATATCAGACGCGTCAAAATTAGGGAACAAGTACTCTCATTTTTAAATCAGCTGACATTTTAGAGACAAACGCATGTAAAAGATTAGCCCTATTCGGAAGTTATCATCCACATGGCTGTGACCGTGGGAACAGAATGGGTCAATCTTACATCCACATTAGGTCTCTGCCTCTCTATGTCCATGTGCTGGGGGAGGCGGTGGGAATGTCTGTACAGGGGATCCTACACCACATGCCGCGACTGTCCCATGTTTTAGAACTCAAGATGATCAAGTGAAACTGGGTGTGTAGAATATGCTCACTTCTAAAGGTATTTCCCCAGTTTATAGATGGCGGAGAAGGGATTCAGCCAGCAGGGGACATGATGATTGGAGCAGCAAGTTCGGCCCTCCTATTTATAGCTCCATATTACAATCAAGGGGGTGGCGTTATTGGGTTGTTGTCGTTTTTATTTTGATTATGTACTTTGTGGTTTTATATTCTGATTTTATTCTGTGAACCACCTTGAGACCTGCGGGTGTAGGGTGGTATATCAATTCAATAAATAATAAAATAAAAACATGGAGCATGAGTAATGTAATGTAAACCCATGAGTTGCTCAAATAAATATTGGGAGTTGGGTGTTGCCATGGTGCTGGGAACTGTTTTCAGGAACATCGTAGCCCAGGGGGCTAAAATACCTGGTATCTGGAGTAGGGAAGGAGTTCCCATCAGGTCCCAATGACCAACAAGCCTAGGGTCACTTAGCTGAGTCATCTAGAGCTATCTGCTCTTCAGGAATCACTTCCATTTACTTACTGCTTAATGGGGCACTGGGGTGTGGATTTTATGGGTTGCTTGGGATGGGCTTATGTGTGGCTGGTCCCATTTGTGGTGGGAATTTGGACCCGACATCATTATTTTAAACTGGGTTTCTATACATCCTGTTGATGTAGAAACTTGAGTCTTCTAGCACCTTGAAGCCAAACATATATCTTACATTTATGGTGGCACAGGAATCTCAGTTGTTTTGCTACAACAGACAAAATATGGCCGGAACTCTCCGTAGGGGTCAGCTTGGTAAAAGTTTATTATTTTGTTCGCTAGCTAAGCAGTCGGCATCCAACAGAGGGAGACAAGGAAGGACGCAAGGGTTAAGATGTTGTTACTCTTCCTTACCAAAGGCTGTTGGGAGTAAACTGGGGCTCTTTCAAGTTCACACAGCGAAAGTTCTTATGCAAGTTTATGTGCCCTGCTTAATGTGTGTCAACAAGGATTAACATCTCCCATTGTTGTATAATTGCCTAATGTGACGGGTAATTGCCTGATGTGATAGATAATACACCCTGAGAAAACTGATCATATGACAATATGTCAACCTTTAATCAATGAATTGGTTAGATTAAATCCCCCTCTTTAATATATGCGCAGCGCAGGTCAAATTCAGGAATAAGTCACTGCCTTCAATGAGGCTTACTCCCAGGTAAGTGTTCCTACGGTTGTGACCAGGAAAAAAGCAGTGGAGAGCACTTCTAAATAGGAAAAGGGGGGAAAGGCTGCCCTTATTAGAAGATGTCGTCCCTTGAGCTCAGCATGGTCTATAATGATTGACAACAGCTCTCCAAGGCTTCAGACCAGCCCTCTCTGGAGACACCAGGGATTGAACCTGGAACCTTTTGTATGCAAAGCATACAGAGGAGGGAATGCCACTTCTAATGGGCACCCGCTGTGATGCATCTATGTACCACCCAAAAAAATCATGGGCTTTCTTCTTCAGAGCAACTGTTTTAGCCATATGAAGAAGCATGCAGGTTTCATGTGATTCATCAGGTAATTTGATTCACCAGTCCTAATCAAAACAATTACTTTAGCCATAGTGTGTGCACGCTCATGTCCCTGCGTTCACACACATGCCCACACATGTGCACTTACTACACAAACTGAGGTTCGGTACGAAACCACGTTTGCAGTGAGTGCAATCCTAACTGTGTCTACACAGAAGTAGGTCCTGCTGAATTCAGTGGGGCTTACTCCCAGCTAACATGGGGTTAGGGTGGCAAACTCGGTCCCCCAAAAGGGGCACTGGTGTATTTGCTACAGAATGGTCTGTTGCAGCCATTATCATGTATTCAGGTCGTCAAGTGATAACTTCAATTATTGTGTGCGTAAAGTTTAAGGCCAGAATAGCAAGTAACATGGGGCGGGGAGGGGGGGCGACAAGCAAGGTTCCTTTTCTTTCTCCATGCTTTCTAAAATTTGCACATGCTGCTAGCTGTCAGGGCTCTTGCATTCCCTTTATGTAATGAAGTTAAAGAAGATGGCAGAAAGGTGAAAGTAAGTCATTAGTAAACGGAACGAATTCCATACTAATAATGCACAACTCTTGCTATTGCTCTTATAAATATAGCTGCCTTTAAGGGGGGTGGGAACAAATTTGCCTATTTCTTTTTAGCTTTCATAACTTCTACTGTGGAAGTCTGGGATTTTATTTTTTTTACAAAAAAAAATGTAAAGGCCTCTATTTTTAGTGGCATCACCAGTGCTACATATTAGATCCAAATCCAAAAGAAAGTGCTACTATTTTTAAGATTGTTATCCGCGGTACTATTTTATATTTCCTAATTTTCAAATGATTTCCTTTTTCTTTCTTTCTCAAAGAAAAGCCGGGGGGGGGGTAAAAAATAATAATAAGAGAGAGAAGAAAATTATTATTTAAAATGCTGGCTTCTTCACAAGAAATTACACATGCTTAGCATAAGATTCAACAAAGCAGCGGCCCTATAAAATTATAATTTAAATTGATATGTATCTCCCCCTGTAATGCAAATAATCTCAGGTTACTAGTGGGGAAAATTAGAATGGGATACTCAACAAAATTTTAAAGGAAATCTAAAACAGGAGGGGAAAGTATTAAAAAAAAATACCTGCACATGCCAAAAAAAATATTAAAAAATACAAAATAACCCAATAAATACAGAAATTATTGCACAGTTAAAAGGCTTCACAATTTTTACTGCCTTAACCAATCCTCAGGTTTAATAGAACTTTGTAGACACAGGTTATATTTAAGTGCCAAATTCTGGCACCTGCCATAGTTATGCTAAATTATGTATATGGAGGCAAGTTAGGTCAGCTTTTCTCAGTTGGCAATAGTTAAAACTGTACAATTTAAATGTTACCTAGACCCCTGATATTTTTTTTTTAAACCCAGCGGGGGCCTTAGCTTCTTTCTGCCTGCTCAATTTTGACATCATTTGTCAGCAAGTGTTCGCCATGCCACTTTTTCATGTGTTTCTCCAGGGTGCTGTAAACACTGAAGGGCATCTGACAAATGTCGCAGCGGTAGACCTCCTTCCCTATCTGGCCATGTGTTTTCATATGACGCGTCAGCTTACTGCTCTGGGCGCATGCATAGTTGCAGAGCTCACATTTGTAAGGCCGCTCTCCCGTGTGGCTCCGCCGATGCACCGTTAAGTTACTGCAGTTCTTAAAGACCTTGCCACAGTACTCGCACGTGTCGCTCCGCCGTCCTTCCTTGGAACTGGGTCGGCCGGGGCCAGGTCCGCTGATGTGGGGCGTGCTGCCTCCGCTCGCCGTCCCGCTGCGCCCTGAGAGACCGCCGTCCAGCATATCCCCTGGAGGGGTGGAGAAACGCAGGCTTCCGTTCTCGGAGGAATGCTCAGAAGAGGTGGCGAAGGGGGATTGTCGGGAGTCTGTGAACCCAAGAAATGGATCTTTCATGAAGTGCCTCGACGCTGCGTACCCCACCAGCCACTGCGAGTAAACATTTTCAGAAGGGATTATTGTTGCTGGTGGCAAGTCCAAATCTTTCTCTATCTTTATCCTTTTCGAGGAGTTGTTTAAACTGGGGCTTGTGATGGGGGTGGGCTTGCGAGGGAACAGGCCAGGGAAAGGCTCTCCGGGACCAAAGTTCCTCCCGTTGACTGTCCCCTCCTCAGTACGGTCAAGTTCTCCAGCTACCGAGTCTTCGTCGCCGGTGTCTCTCTGGCAAAGGTCTCGGGGGCAGAGGTCTCGCTGGTCAGAGGACCTCTTCATGAAGCCGCTCCTTTTCTGCTTCTCAGCCAACATGTCGCTGTATTGCTGGATGGTACCAAGGCTAACATTCTCTATCACTTTCCCTAGGACGAGGGATTTTTCATCTGGCAGCGATTTGGAACCGTTCTCTCGGTTACGGCTCAGCTCCGAGTCCATGCTGAAGCTGGACTCGGGCCTACTTTCGTTTTCCAGCTCTTCTTCCTCCTCCTCCTCTTCTTCCTCTTCTTCATTGTCGTGGCCTAGAGAAGGATCGCTCTCGTTCCTGAAGTCTGCCTCACTAGACTTTAGTCCCTCCCCAGTGAGCTCACTTGTGCCGGGCTCAGGGGAGCTTGTGGCAGACAATCCGTCATCCGACCTCCCTGTCATGGACCCAGCTTTGTGCATATGCGTTTTCATATGGCGTTTTAGCTTGCTAGCTTGAGAACAGGCATGGTCGCAGAGCTGGCATTTGTAGGGCTTCTCTCCTGTGTGGCTGCGCCGGTGGACGATGAGATTGCTCTGGAACTTGAACGTTTTCCCGCAAAATTCACAGGACTTGCTCTTAGCCTGAGGCTGGGGAGGCGTAGTGCTGCTCGGGGGCATCGGCGGCAATGGCGGGGTGCTCAAAAAAGGAGATTTAGGGCTTGGCTGGAAAGGATTCAACAAGCGATGCATAGGGTTGTTGCGGTTGGGAGAAACTGGCGGAGGGGTGGAGTTGTTCCCTGCCAGTTCTCGAAGCCTTCTGGAGAAATCCATCGCTGGCGACTCAATTGCCATGGGGTTTAAACGCATGACTCTGTCAAAGGCACTGGGATGCTGGGCAACTAACCCCATTTCTTCGGCACTAAGGCGATGCGGATCCAGGTGATGGCGAGGCGGCGGGCTGAAGAGGGGAGGCGTGTTGGGGAGCCGGCCTTCGCCAAAGCCAGGGTGATCGCGCAGGATGGGACCGGTCATTCGCAAGAGACTAAAAGGGTTGTTGTCACCAAGGAAATTCATCAGCGGGGACTGTGCAACAGTCTCGGGTCCCAGAGGAGGAGGGATGGTGATGCGTGGAGTAAGGGAGCTGTTTGAAGGGCTTGTTTCCAGGTAGATGCGGAATCCATGTGTGTTCTGGGCATGCTGAAGCAAGAACCAAGCGCTGTTAAAAGGGTGCTTGCATGTTGTGCAAATATAGCTTGAAGGCTCATCTTTACCTATAGAAGGGAAAGAAAGAGACAAAGAGAAAGAGAGAGAGAGAGATCAGTATTATAACACAGACAACTTCTAAGCAAAAAATATTTCCAGTTCTAATGTGTCATTTCTGTTTCTGTTTTCTAATACAAAAAGGAAAATGCATGTTTACGTCGTATCCATAATCTGTTTACGGTATAGCAAACAAAAAAGTTATGGCTTGCTGCTGGGGTAAGACATGTCTGTTCCACTTGCAGGAGAAGAGTCCCTACTTCGCTCAAAAATTATTCGTTCAGATCTCTGCTCAACCGTGAAGCGGACTGGGTGACTTTGGGCATAACCTACCTCACAGGTTTGTTGGGAGGATTAAAGGGTGGGAGGAAAATCACAAATCCTACAGCTCCTTAGAGGAGAGGTGAAATTTCAAGGGGGGGAGGATGCAAAAATTAAGTGGAGGTGCCTTTTGTGATATTGAAGAATGAGGAACAATTAACAGTTTAATAAACGGAAGCTACCCATTCCTAGTTAGACGTGTTAGCATTTTCTATTTCATTCCCTGTTAGCGCACCAGAACCAAAATAGCCTCAAAACAATCAAGTTTACCCTCAAACATAAGCTCATCGGTTAAATATGTGTGCCCTTCCGTTTAAGCGAATATGCTTCTTCAGTGCTATTTTTCTAGAAAATGTTCTGCATGTCCAAAGCCCCTAAATTCAATCCTTGGCATCTCCAGGTAGTTGAGGGCTCCTGCTAAAACATTGGTGAGCCACTGCCAATCGATTTAGTGACCTAGGTGGGGCTAATGAGCCAAGCTGATATAAGGCAGTTCCTTATGTGCCTGGGATTTTACCAGGAACACCCCTAAGTAGGTTTCAAATGCCTATCTCCCATATTCTAATCCAGCCTTATTTTCACCGACAACAGTGGTGTTAGAATCCCATCTAAGCTTTTAAAAAAATGCACCCTGTGAGGAAACCATCCTGCTTCTGTGTTTATCGAAAGCCCCGAACACACCAGAAGATAAATAATTGTCTAATTATGAAAACCCATAATAACAGTTGGATGTAGTTGTTAACAGACACTGGAGCCATATCTGAACTGGGTTATATACAGAAGTACTCAAACCGTGTCATTTAATACAAAAAAAAGTTTGAACTTTTGACTCTCTTGTTTGTCTTCCTAATCTACTGTTGCTTTGTCTTCTCAGCTAGTGAATGAACGTTTAAAAACACATTCCTTCTTCAGAATTGTAAAAAAAATAAAAAAGGGGGAAAAGGCAGGTGTGGGCAAGTTACAGCTCAGCACTCAATTATTTCGCTATCAAAAAATAAATAAAAAATCCATCCCTGGATACACAAAGCAAAACGTTTTATCATCACCTTAAATAGGAACACTTCCATAAAACCTGGCAAATTCCTAGATATAGATACATTCCAGATTTTTAAAAATGTCACATTCAGCTTTTTCACAGCAGCTATCTGTTTTACACAGGAAAACTATGGCAGCTGATTTCTGGGTGCTCTGCCGGAAAATGAATATATTCTCACAGCAAGGATATGGACGGAATTGTTATTTAAAAAAAACACAAAAGTCTGACCCTTATTACAGCCCAGAACAATTAACTCTACTGCTTTGAGATGGTCTGGACTGGCTCAGTGTGAAACAGGTAAAGGATTCTGCAAAACGCATGCCTCTAAATATGGTACCATTCTCTAGGAATTGCCCAATATGGAGAGTGGGGTAGGGATGTCCTATCCAAATTTCCTTTATTTTGAAACTACCGCTGTTCTCTTATCACAAGTCAAGGTTCCTGCTACCATGCTCTGTTGGTTGCTAGCAGCATGGAAACAAAAAGGAGCAGAAGACTTTGTGCAGGACGTTTCAAAGGCACCACAAGGGCTTGTTACTTGTCACCTGCCACTCCTATTTCTGGCTCTTTTTCAACAGTGCTTATGACTTGCAGCCCACTTTTGACACTGGCAGTGGCAGAAGCAGTGGCTTCTTCTTGTTGTGGCAATCCAAAATAGCAATCTCCACCACCCTGTATCCATTCCTTCCTGTTTGGCCTTGGCAATAGCAGCAGCAGCAGCAGCAGCAGCAGCAGCAGCAGAAGAAGAAGAAGAAGAAGAAGAAGAAGAAGAAGAAGAAGAGGCCATGATGGGACATGGCTCCCTTTTTCTTGGCATGTGTCCTGTTAGAGCATGCGCAAAAAACCTCCCACAGATGTGCGCATCACCAACCCCAATGGACACTGGGCAGGTGGCCAAGCACACTGGTGCTTGCCCTGGGTATGTTAAGAAAGCATGAATGAATGGGAATGAGGGCATTTGCGTGCCTGAATCAACATCTCATGCCGTTTAAGGGAGAAAGAAGAGTTTGGATTTGATATCCCGCCTTTCACTCCCTTTAAGGAGTCTCAAAGCGGCTAACATTCTCCTTTCCCTTCCTGCCCCACAACAAACACTCTGTGAGGTGAGTGGGGCTGAGAGACTTCAAAGAAGTGTGACTGGCCCAAGGTCACCCAGCAGCTGCATGTGGAGGAGCGGAGACGCGAACCCGGTTCCCCAGATTACGAGACTACCGCTCTTAACCACTACACCACACTGGCTCTTAGAAAATGCCGTACAGACATGCCCCAAGCCAACACAGAGATCACAAATCTGGATTCCTACTCCATAATTATAGTAGTTCCGACTGGCAGAGACAGGGCTCTTAGAGCTGTTTGAATGCCTTGTGTATTCTCTGCAAAGAGCTGGAAGGCAACAAGTATTATGTAGATATCGGCACGTGGGGACGATTTCCCGGAGTCCCATTGAAATCATCAACATTAATGGTATCTGCACATTGTACATAAACAATTAGTCGGGACAAAGCCTAAGTATTGGGAAAGAGACATTCATCAGTCAATCAACAGAGAAGCTAGGCAAACCCCATAGGATGCACAGATCTTGGGGAACACTAGTCCCTAAGAGTTAATAAAGTATGTTATAAGCTGGAGCAATACAGACTTTAGAACAAGTCCAGTGTCAATGAGCCATTAGTCACACTTTAGGGAAAACTTGCTTCCCCGCTCTAAGTGATGGGATTTAAGATTCATGGGGGAAATATGACATTCTCACCCAACCCTAACCCAAAATCTTGCTGTAGGGCAATTTGCTGTATGGCTTTGGTTGCTGCTGCTTCCAAACACTAAATGTTGCCCCATAAGAAAAAGACATACAACCAGAAGCATTCTAGCAGAAATCCCTAACAATTTTATAGACCATGATCCTACAGAGAAATGTCCTTTACTATCAACTTAGCAACTGAGGCATTTGGCAGGCAGAAGAAGTTGTTTTATGTCAGCTCTGAAGATTATTCAACAGTCAGTGCTCCCATTAGTACTTCCAATAGTTAATTTCTTTCTTTCTTTCCCAAGAATGAATGTGACAAAAAGAAGTCTAGACCTTTAATGTTTCTTAAACAACACTATACGTAGTATAGAATGTGACAGAAATCACTGAGGCAGGCTAAAATATATAGCATATTCTGTCAAAAGCTTTTTTTTTAACAATATGTTTTACCTCAACTCACCCTTGAATGGACTTTAATAAAACCCTTTAAAAAATAATAATAAAAAGTGTGATCTAATAGCAACCAAAGAGCAGAATCTTACAAGGTCATATAGCTTCAAATTAAAGACTGTTTGGCACCCTTTACCTCCATTTTATAAACACTAATTAATTGACTGATTTCCCACAGCTGACTGGGTCTTCCTTCTTTAAAGTTGCAGAGTGAATTCTCTATTTATCTGTTTTCTCTCAGTGTTCCCAGAAACTGGTTTGCCTAATAACAGAGTTCCCCCTTCCTTGCACACCCCTTCTGCATTTGCCAGGAAAGAGGTTTACCTCAGGAAAGAGATTTACCTCAGGAAAAGCAGATAGATAAAACAGTATGTTGTGGGCTGAGCTGAAGACCAAGGTCAGTCTAATGGATGGTTTAAAAATAAAATTAAAAACATAGCCTTAAAATGGCAGCTGGCTAGCCACTGGCATTTGTTTCATACAGCTGAGAAGCTTTGGTTTTTTGGTGGTGGTGGTGTTTTTTTAAAATAATAATAATAGCAATAATTTGCATTATTTTAAAAATCACCTCTGTGAAATGCAAGTGAAAGAATGAATCAATTTTACTTCTGCTTTCTTATTCCCGTTCAAAACCAGCTTATTAGTGTGTATTACTGACATAAGATACTGATATGACAAGTTATCGGTCATAACAGTAGCAGCTCTTCCCTTTGTTTTTCTTTCATTTCTCTTTCATGCCCCTAAACTCTTCTGTTCGGCAGCCCCCTGTTCACAATGGCAAAATTGACTGCAGGCTACTCAGCTCTGACAGATTCACTTATTTTTTTTCTTCTTCTTCCTCCCCTGCTTCGGTTTCACAGCCCTCAAAGGCTCTCCCTAGACTCTCCTTTATTATTTTTTTTCATACTTACAGAAAATAAAAAAATAAAATGTTCATTTCCATATTATCACTTCATGGTTATCTTGCCTCGAAGTTGCCCTGAGCAGTGTGGATGCTCACTTTTAAGAACAGAACAATGTCAAAAAGTCTTTGAAGATCCACTCCGAACATTTTTATATGCTAAAACTTGCTAAGTATTTTAAAAATGCCCAGGAACGGTCAAATAGTGCTATAAAGTGATCCTTATAGTTAATAAAGCAGAGTGCCTACTCTTGGGGGGACGGGACCCTACTTTGGTGTGAGTGTCCTCAATGTGGCTTTGTGACTTTACACATTACTGGGGGGAAAGATAAAGTCCTCACTAGGAAGTTTGGGGTTTCTCTTCCACATCCCTCTCAGCATTTTTTCCTCCCTAGGGATGTTTTTCATAATTTTGCAAATCTTGGGGTTCCCCGAATTCTGTTCATACCTCCGTCTTATGTGTGGAAGGTGCCATTTTGGTTATATAAGGATCCACACTTACAGAATTTCTTTACTACACGGAACTAAATGTACTTCTAATACAGAAGTTCTAATACAG